GTCTTTCTTTCTTTTACCTTTCTTTGTCAGGTATGTCGGATTTGTGTTGGTGTTTTTCTTTTAATCTTATGTCAAATATGTTCCATGTAAGTTCATCCTTTAGTTTAATGTAAAAATAAATGCAGCCCTTTTCCTGTGGGAGAGGAGCTGGAGCGGCAAGTTATTTACTTGGAGGTCTTTCTTTCTTTTACCTTTCTTTGTCAGACACAACGCAAGAACTGCTATGCTTATTGCTATTTTCTGTTATTACTTGCACATCATTAAGGTAATAATACTTCCTTGCTTTTACTTAGAATTATGACTGCAGGTCATATGTGCATATGGGCCAGTCGGGTAAGCTTTCTCACCGAGACAGACTCATGAACTAGCCACTGTGAAGCCACTCTCTAGAATACCACTTTCACAGGGACTCAAGTAAGCTAGGGGCTAAGGCGTCCCCCAAAGTTCACATTTAAACGTTGTCATTTTTTGTCTAGATGCTAGTGTTAATAATTATTTTAGTTTTTTTCTCAGCTTACTCCTACAGGATTATCCTGTGAGCAACCTCTGTGCCGTGCAAATGGTAAAAAGGAATTTGAACGTGTCTCCTTTAATTGACTCTGGTGGAACGCATTTTAAGGTTTCAGTGTTTGATCACTGCCATGTTTGGTATTTAGAGCCACAGGTGACAAGCTTTGACAAAGAGGGTGGAGTTTCATTGGCAATCTTGGATAACGAGGTGTATCCACAGATCTGGGTACATCCAAAAGCACAGCTAGTTGCTAGTTATGCTGAGCAATAGACAGATTAAAGGGCAGAATTTTACTCACTAAAACTGGAGCACAAACCTTTCTATCTGTCACACAATCCATTTGCATCACCATCATCATAAGTGTCTCAAAATAATATAGTTAAAGCCTAGAAGACAACTGCTGGCTATAGCAGGCATCCACCTGTATATCAGCGTGCTTATGTTCCTAAAATTAAGCCTTAATGAAGTTTAAGTAAGTCATTAGATTTCACCCACTGTAAATTTGTTTAAAGAGGAAAATAGCTATTTTTGTATGAGGCTGCAAATACTCTTGGTTCTGCTGGATATTTAAAGTGTGGGAATCCATGGAGATGACTCTTTCAGCGGTAATGCAGTTCTTGCATTTCTGCTGCAGAGGATGCAGCTTGGATAAACTGTAGCTGCAGGTTTGACTGTTGCAGTGGGATGAAACTATCTATCAAATTGTTGCTTGCGGATCTGCAAGATTTCAACCCATTACGGTGTAGTGTGTTAGCAATGGTGTTCCTACTGACTGTGGCCCCAGATACCTTGATATTAATAACATGCTCCTCCCATTTTGAGCTGACCCACCAGCTTTCTTGTGACCGTTTGCACCTCATCGCTGTAGCGGTGGTTTGATCCCTGTGTGCTCCAGTCTCCATTCCAAACATCCTTGGGCGAGATACTAACCTAAGTTGCTCTCCAATGGATTAATTGAAATATGAATGTGTGTGACAGAAAGCTGTTTGAGTGCTCCGGAAGTGTAGTAAAGTGCTGTATAAGAACCAGTTCTTTCATCATTTACCCATGAGGCATGGAGTTCTAGACAGACAACGACTGATATTTCTGAATAACTGCCCCAACAGTTGTCACCTTCTCACCAAGCTTCTTGCTGATGCAGCCTTGTGCAGGTCTACAGTCTTGTCCCAGACATGCCACCTTTGTCATGTTTCGGCTGTGTGGCAGGCAGGGATTGGACCCAAACGCAAACTCACGGGGACAGAACTTGAACTCAAAAGCACAGCTTTATTGCTGGAAAATAGAACACAAGCAATACAAAACTAAACTGGGAAAAGCTAATTATAACACATACAAGAAGACACGGGGAGAATCTCACACACAGCATGAGGGACGACACAACACTGACTCAGAGAAACACAGGGTTTAAATACACTGGGAGTAACGAGGGGAAGAGACACAGAAGGAGGGCACAGCTGGGAGAAATCAGGACTGACGAGACAAGCAAAGCAGGACACATTCACATAAGACACGGACCTTCAAAGTAAAACAGGAAGGATCACACAGAGACGCGAACTTGACACAGTGGAGACAGCAACTAAGAAAAACAGAGACATAAACCATAAGGCAGAGGACTCTAAGAACCGAGAGACACAGAGGGGAACAAACATGCAGACACAGACTTACACAGAACAGAGGGGACACAGAGAAACATGAAGGGCAAGGGATCGAAACTAGAATCCATAGAATAACTCACACAAGTACAATAATACAAACATCACAAAGAACTAAAAACGCTGGGTCAGGAGACCCAGGACCGTGACAACCTTAGGACACAGCCAATCTGTCTGAGCCAGAATTCTGGCTGGGTTGTAAGGGATCAAATACTCAGTTCATAACTTTGAGTTTTTTTGTGGAATTTTGGTTTATCTCCTCCCATTAAAATGAACAGTGAGAGAGACTGTTCTTTTCTTTGTAACTAAGCAGACTTACAAATTCAACATACTTATTTCTCCAACTGTATGTATCTGTAAATGATGAGTTCTGTTGTGCACATTCATGCCATACACACATGTATACAGCATAAACTCCAACTGCACAATCTGACTACAGTTGGTATTATGATGACACTTAATGCATGTTTGGCTCTTTATTCTCTTTATATCCTCTTGATATATCTCATTAATCCCACTTTCTGTAGATGAGTTGGCATTTCGACATTTAAGCCCAAAGCTTAGAGATGCAGTGTGACAGAAGTTAATGGATGATGTTTGGATCAGACTCAAAGAGTGATTATGTTCAGGGATTACAGGGTCATGCATTAGTCACCCAAACGGTGGACCATTGAGAGGAGAGAGAGGAGGAAAAGATAAACAGATGGATCATCTGGGACGGCTTTGTTCATTCTGGGTTTGAGCTTCTCTTACACTTGAGACGTGTAAGAATTAATGACAAATTTCCCTGCAGTAATTGGACATTACTTTTTATGAAATTCAGTGCTAAATGTTTCACACACAGCAAATATTTGGAATATTTAGAGGCATTTTGAACGGACTGGTATCACAACACAGATTTAAGGTAAGTTTTGTATCCTATCATGACTAAAGTGGTGGATTTACCAGAAAACGTGTTGTGCTTTTGCTAAGAGATGTTGGTTAAGCAAATTGTAGTTATGTGAGAAAAAACCCAAGTGTTTGAATGATATTTAAGTAGGGAAAATAACTGCAGGCACAGAGCCAAAGAGAGGCCAATAGTGGCCATCCTACATACACCCTTCTTAGAACTGGTTATACCCAGTAAAAGCTATTTTTCTAGCAGATTTTCTAAAATAATTTCTTTATTATTTAAACAACACAACCACCTGTTGGAATTTGTATGGGCTACAACAAAAACTGTCCACATAATTAAATTTGACAGTAGTGTATGATCTGAAACACCTTCCTTGTAGCAGACTTCTATAAGGGACGGTTTTCAAGATGTAAAGTTTAAGTGAGTAATGGAAAAAAAAAATGTCTGACTTGGCTACTTAATGTCTGTCACCATTGTTGTGCGTCTGATGTTAGAATGATTACCAGCTACATCAATAGCTACATCAAACTCAAAGTCAAAAAGAGAAAGAAAATAACAGAATAAATAGATTTTAAATCTGCATGCATTTATTATTATTATTATTATTATTATTATTAAAAACAGAATAAAAATAAGCCTATACAAAATAACAGCAGATTAACCTGGTTAACCGGAAAAGATTTAAACAGTTTTTTTTCCAACAACTCCAAGATTCAGCTAAAAGGAGCTAAACTGTTCCAAAACATTGGAGCCACAGACTGAAAAGCTCCCCTGTCTCCCCTGGTCTTCAGTCTTATGAGGGACAGCTAATAGATTTTGAGCTTGTGAGCGAAGACAGTAAACACATTGTGTTTAACAAGAAGTTGAGTCATGTAGTCTGGAGGTTGTCCATGCAAGGGTGAGAATATTAAAATTAATTCTAAAATAAACTGGGAGTCAATAAAGAGAATAAAATGTCAGCTTGCTTGCTAGAGTCTGTTAAGAGTCTGACCGTAGCATTTTGTGTTGCTTGGAGACATGGCTGAGATTTATCTGCTATAATCTAGGTGCAGTGACACAAAAGCCTTAACATTTCAGAAGAGTAGACTATAATTCACAATTTTGAAATATTCCTTAAATAAAAGAAACAGAAAAGTGAAAACTCACTGGTTCGGGATAAACAGTCAACTAGGGTGTATAGCCTATGCAGCTGGTGAGGCTTAAAAGACACATACAGTTGAATGTCATTAGCATAGAAATGCTAAAAAACGGCAGGCACAAAGATTAAATGATACCTACTTAAGGAAGCATGTAAAATCAGAATAACGGTGGACCCAGGATTGAACCTTGTGGAGGTTAAACAAGCAATCTAAGAGGAGAAGGTGTACGCGCGAACAAAATGTCCTTCTAGAGCAGGGGTGGGGAACTCCAGGCCTAAAGGGCCGATGTCCTGCAGGTTTTAGATGTGTCCTTGATCCACCACAGCTGATTTAAATAGCTAAATTACCTCCTCAACATGTGTTGAAGTTCTCCAGAGCCCTGTCATTTAATTCAGATGTGTTGACCCAGGGTGATATCTAAAACCTGCAGGACACCAACCCTTGAGGCCTGGAGTTCCCATCCCTGATCTAGAAGAAAAGGAGGATGATGAATCTACTGATTATTCAGAGATAGAAGCCAAAATCTTGAATAGTAATCAATAGTATCAAAGACAGCACTAAATTCAAGTGGTATGAGTACAGAACAATTTCCTACATTAGGCGCCATTAGAAGATCATTGTAGACCTTTAAAAGAGCAGTTTCAGTTACATACTGGCATTGAAGTGTATGATGGTTAATATACAGCTAATATAAGAGGGTAGGCCACTCATCGATCACCATGTATGAATTTTTAATGTAATCAATCTTTTCAGACTTTACCATAACTACACCAGCTCTTTCAGCCAAATACCCACGTACCACCATGGCTATCATCGGCGCTGGCTTTGATGACCATTCCTTTAGCAGTGATGAGAGTTACAACCACCTCTTCATAGATACAGAGAACACTGAAGTCAAAGGCTTGTACTTCCAGCAGCTGGGGACGTTCTTGGTTTGTGGATCCTTCCTTGCGGGCCCTCATCAATGTGGAGGTATCCGGTATGCTTTTCCCTGGAGTACTTTGGAAGATTTCCCCCAGAGTCGCCTGAGTCACCTCCACTCCTGCACCACCCTGAGAGAGATAGCAGAGTTTTGTGATGACTACGACCCCTTGTGTCATGAATTCTTCTTTGATCGAGACCCTTTAGCCTTTCAGATGATCTTCAACTTCCTGGGCCGTGGGAAGCTCCGCGTGCTGCAGGATGTCTGCAATGTAGCTCTGCATGAGCTGAGGGGCATTGATGTAGGACAGATGGCACCCTGCTGCCACCACCGCATGATGTGCTCAGTGGATGAGGTGGTGCAGCACCAGCGCAAGGAGGAAGAGTGGAGGGAGAGGAGAAGAGTGATGAGAGCAAATGCAGAGCAGGGAAGCTTCTTCCACAAGCTGGGAGAAGCAGTGGAGAACCCCCACTCTGGTTTTGCAGGCAAAGTGTTTGCCTTCATGTCTGTCATGATGGTTGTGGTCACTGTAGTCAGCCTGTGCATCAGCACCATGCCAGACCAGCAGCAGCAAGAATCTATGGTATGTACCAACCAAAGCAATGGTGTGCACGACCATGTTTTTTTTTAACTCCAAATATGAAATGAGAGTTTGCACTGTGGCACAGTTTATGATAAATAAGGGTCATTTTGAACTGTGAATCAGCAAAGCTACTCTTTAAAGTCCCATTTAAAGCTCACAGTACGTATTGGTATTATCTGCATTTTACCAGCCCTGGTACACTAGATATTAAGTTTGAACTGCAATATTCTAGTGTATTGCTTGTATTGCAATACTATAGCTTAATGCTTCAGTCGGAGTGGAAGCATATTTTTTGTTAGTATTGGCCACTTTGGCCAGTGGGGTCATTTTAAGGGAAAATGTCTTAATGTGCAGCTGTGACTCAGGAGTAGTTTGAATTGTCTACAAATTGGGATGTTGGTAGTGGTGTGCAGATCGATATTGAAATATCGATTCTTCTGATACTAGTAATTTATGTTCTAGAATTGATTCTCATATTAAAATATCAATATTTTAGTACTTTCTGGTAAATTTGTAGTTTATCATTAACAGGAACACAGTGTAGTGCCATATCACCCTATTAGAGCACTTCGCTCTCGCTCTGCAGGCTTACTTGTTGTTCCTAGAGTATTTAAAAGTAGAATGGGAGGCAGAGCCTTCAATTTTCAGGCCCCTCTTCTGTGGAACCAGCTTCCAGTTTGGATTCGGGAGACTTTTAAGATTAGGCTTAAAACTTTCCTTTTTGCTAAAGCATATAGTTAGGGCTGGATTAGGGGACCCTGAATCCTCCCTTAGTTATGCTGCAATAGACGTAGGCTGCCGGGGATTCCCATGATGCATTGAGTTTTTCCTTTCTAGTCACCTTTCTCACTCACTATGTGTTAACAGACCTCTCTGCATCGAATCATATCTGTTATTAATCTCTGGCTCTCTTCCACAGCATGTCTTTCTGCCGGAGGTTTCTTCCTGTTAAAAGGGAGTTTTTCCTTCCCACTGTCACCAAAGTGCTTGCTCATAGGGGGTCATATGATTGTTGGGTTTTTCTCTGTATCTATGAAGCGCCTCGAGGCGACTTTTGTTGTGATTTGGCGCTATATAAATAAAATTGAATTGAATTGAATTGGAAAGAAACTATATCATTCAGGTCGTCTAAATTGATGATACTTCCGCTTACGCCTTTCATGGTCATATGCGAAATATGCCTGTATAAATGTGTCGCGCCCCTGGCGTGCACACTCACAACAATGGCTGAGTGTAAACGGAGTCATGTGTGGACGTATTTTACCTCCACATAAAGCCAAGACACAGTTTGCCATACATGTGGCAAGACAGTGAGGTGTTGTTAAACACCTCAGGGTAAATCCTATCACAGAATATGATGAGCTTATGTTGAGGCGAACTGAAGAGGAGGAGAGGGACAGATGCAGCTGGGGCAAGACAGACATCTCTCGCAGAGTCCTTTAGTGCTGCAGGCAGGCAACGTGTTCAAATAGCGCACAACTTCAGTTTTTTTTTATTTCTATATGATAATTCTGCATTATTAAGCAATAAAAACAAGTAGTCTGATGTCCTGTAATCATTATGAAGCATATTATTACAATTACATAATACAATTATATATTGTATTATGAAATACTGTACAATGAAACATTAAGTTTTTGTACACAGCATCAGTATCATCGATACCATGAATTTTACTTGGTATCTGATCAGAAAGCAAATCAGTGGTATCGCACATCACTAGATGTTGGTGGTTTACTCTGTCTTCTCCAGCCAGAATGTCAAAGTATCCAAGAGCAAAATACTGAACCTACCGCCCCCGGTGCATCCATCAGACTGCGATGGTGCTTAGGTATAAAAAAAATCGCTTACATGAATAGATGTATGATTGTGTGAATGAGGCTTTGAGTAAAAAGTGCTTTGATTGATCAGTCAGAGTAGAAAAGTGCTATTTAACCACCAGTCAATTTAATGTGACTTTAAAATTTGGAACAACCTTTAGAGAGTTGGTAAATAAATTCAGTTAGACCTCTTTGATCAGTCAGTACTTACTGTACTTTCGTTATGTTTCTAAGTTGAACCATGTGTGGAACTTCAAATTTGACCCAATGAATTAGATTCTGTAGTTTCTGACAGTATTTATAAGTTTTTAGTTTTATCCTTGTTTAGTTGCTCATGTATTTATTTGTTGCTACTAGGTAGATATAAAAAGAATTTATAGCTGCAATCTGCCACGTGCATGGCACCACAAAATTGCTCGGCTCACAGTTGGAACCACTGGCATCAGCAATTTTGTGGCAATTTTTTACAGATGGAAATTACCTTGACCAACACTATGTAACAATTAGCTCTCAAACCGGTCAAAATGTGGTCTGGTTTTCAAAGGGAAAACAGGCTACATATTAGCACAACCATCATCATAACCTTGGTGGAAGAAAGGTACTAAACTAGTGTTTTGCACCAATGCTGGTTATCAGCCTACAAGATAATTATTAAATTGTGTACATTTAGATCAATTAAATTTACCAATGGATTTCTGTCTTTTGTTACTCTTGCAGGGTGAATGCTCTCAGAAGTGCCGAAACATGTTCTTGGTAGAGTCGATTTGCGTGGCTTGGTTCACTTTGGAGTTTCTGGTGCGATTTTTCCATGCACAGAGCAAGCTGGAGTTCATTCAGGGACCACTCAACATCACTGATATAGCCGCCATCTTGCCCTACTATGTTTCCCTGTTTCTTGAGTTTAAGGACGAAACAGTGCACGATATTGTTGCTGGTGCAGGGAAGAGCACTCTAGATAAACTGGGTCTAATCCTGCGTGTGATGAGGGCCTTGCGTATCATGTATGTCATGAAGCTGGCCCGTCACTCTATGGGTCTGCAGACTCTGGGGCTGACCATGCAGCGAAGCGTGACTGACTTTGGCCTGCTGCTGCTCTTCATCTGTGTCGCCGTGGCCCTCTTTTCTCCACTTGTCCACCTTGCTGAAAGTGAGCTGGCTCCAAATGCTGCTAGAACCCCCCAGCTAATGTTCAGCAGCATCCCAGCATCATACTGGTGGTCCATCATCTCCGTGACCACCGTGGGGTATGGAGACATGGTGCCACGCAGCATTCCCGGCCAAGTGGGGGCGCTAATCATCATCTTAGCAGGGATCCTCATCCTGTCCTTCCCTTCCACATCTATCTTCCACACTTTTAACCGCACTTACAATGAACTTAAAGAAGAGCACAAGAGGCTGTGGAAGGAAGAGAGGGGTGCTGAGCTTGCCACTGGGGCTGAAGAAAGCATGAAAGAAAAGAGAAACATGGCCTGATAATTGGCCTGAAACTGATTTTCTGCCTGATCTAGATGATCATTATTACCTCTCCATGAAAGACATTCAAATGCTGGATAAGAACACAAGCCATCAACACTTATTGCTCCTGCTACATTTTGATTATATGAAAATACATTCCTGATGGGCCTTGGTGTACACTCAGAAAAGCTGTAGGAGGTAGAAAATATGGATATGGACATTATTTTTGTGATGATTGTGATAGCAAACTGGAAACTGCACCTAGAACAGAAACAGCTGCATTATACTGATAACAAAACTTCCGTTCTCAGGAAGCATCTGCACAGACAGATGCTAACACAAAGCTAGCCAAGAACCGAAACTAATGTTAAGGCAGTGATGAGCAGTAAGGGTTGTTGCAATGCAGCCTTTATTTTTTTCTCTTCAAGTTCCTACAGTAGTGTTCATATGTAAATGGTACAAAAAAAAATCATGTGTCCTAAGTAGGACAGGGATTTGTGTTGTGTGTGGGACTGTAGCTTAAGGTTTATATTAACAGTGTGTAATACATTACTTTTTGAGTAATCATCCCAACATTGTTCACCTACCTTTGTCGCGTCTGCTTAAATGTAAATGTAGTGTATAACTGATTTATTATTTGAGTACTGTGAACATTTACTGTAATATACATTACCTAAACTTATATAGACTTTGGGTATGCATATTTATATGTGCTGTGAAACATGTCACGGTCCGGGGAAGTGTTATGTTAAACCTTGAATTTCTGTGAAACTTCCTATCTGTTCAGTCTGTGTTTGGGTGCGCCTTTTCGCTTCGGCCTTTCAGCCTTCTGACAAAACGATCCACAAATTCATTAGTTTCTTGGTCAAAAAGGGGATAGACCTACATTTGATAGTGGGAAGTAGAGGCAGACAACTCCTTTAACAATAGTTACTGACAAAATGCTGATGCAACACTGTTTGTTGAAAATCAGTGTGTTTTAATGCTTTAATGCTATTAACCAGAAACCACTTTTTGTCCAACAAAGGGCAGACATGTTCATTAAACAAGCCCTGAAGAAAACTACAGCATGTCACTGTGGAAAGGATTTTCTCTGCTGCAGACTGCAGTACAATAATTACATAGTAATTGTTTCAGTGATTATACCCTGAAGGGAGACATAAATCTAAGATATGCCCACATTAGTTTATAGTCTTAATACAAGGTGGACTCTTGAAGCTGTTATCACTAAAGTCTGTGCCACGCAGGTGCATCACGCCTGGAAATGATCTGACAGCGACTGATCCGGTCTGGTGATTTGAGTGCAACAGGAAGGCAGAGTTGGGCTTCTGGGATATGCACAAAACCCTGGATTACTACAGAGGCCTGTAAAAGAATGGAAAAAGTTAATTCTGGATGCAGAATGTTTGCCTCTGATGAGAGACAGGGATGCCAGGAGTTCACCAACAAAGAGTGGCATGAGGTTTAAGATGGAGAGAACAGGAGTGAGCCAGGGAGAAGGAGGGGAAACAGAGGCGGAGGAGGGAATGAAGGCCAGTTGGATTTAAAAGTTTGGCCAACCTTGAACAAATAAAACTAACTTTGCTTTTTTTTTTTCTTTCAGAATAGTTTGGCCTGCAGAGTATCATTGCATTGAAACAGACAATGAATGGCTACCAAGGACTCTTGATCATTGGGAATGGTTCTGGGCAGAGTCACTTCCAGGTCAACATTCGCACCGACTAAAATGTCAGTAATAAATGTCATTAAAAAAAAATCATGATCAAAAAGCTTGAAGATCAAACTGCATGTCTGCAAGGTGGAAAAGCATGGCAACCTAACCTGACTGCAGAGGAGCTGCAGGAAGTAGTTGCTGACACTTGAGTAGTTGTCCACTCCAATGAGCAGCAGTTTTGCACAAACAGAAACCACATCTCATTACCAAAAGAGATCAAAAGGACCTTTTTTAATCTAAAGTCTGTGGAGCAACATTTGGATGACTCAGATTGCTTTAAAATAAGCCATAATCAGTAACGGTATGTTGGGTTTAAAATGGGGGTAAAAAAACAAAAAACAATTAATAACACCTCACCAGCTGTTAAACATGGAAGTTGACCTATTGTCTTCTCAGGTTTCAGGTTGTGTATCAATGAGTAGCTTGGAAGCTGTCCAGACAGATATTATATAGTGAGGCAAAAATACACTAAAGCTTCTCGGCTGAGCCACTGGAACGTGAATGAAAACCCAAACTTTTTCCTTCATAAAGGTGACATTTGACGATCTCCCCTGTATACTTAATGATGAGATCTGACACCTCAGTATATATCAGTAGAGATCACCTCCACTAATGTCTGATGCAAATACATGCTTCAAGAGGCAAAGAGTTAAAGATATAGGAACCTGTAAGACAGATTAATGCCATTATTTTATGCAAGTTATAATTTTAAAATATTTAATAACCCCAGGTTACCCGAATTTTTGTAGGCATGTACATGTGTTTCTTTGTACACTTGTCGCCTCAACATGAATCTGTTTACATAGCATTATATTGAGGGCAAAAAGAAAATCGTAAATGACGTAATCTTTGGGGGCTTAGAAGATTTATGTTTAGGTTGGGGTGACGTTTTGGTTAGGTCCTTTGGAGGGACAGAAACATGTAAGCACGTGTGTTTATATGACTACTTGTGATGTGGTACCCTCTGTTCTCTGGTTCATGGGAATCGCAAGCCTGTCATTACTTTTTTTCCTGATATAAAATAACCAGAGGAATGTCTGCACCACACTCACACACTTTGTGTCTGACATCCCACTAAAACCATTTCCACACTGCCCCTAAAAGCCTCTTGCACTAAAAACAGCTTGTCTGCTCAACTGACCCTCAACCCTCGGCTGCTTGGAAGCTGCTGACTGCTCTCAGTCACTGTAACTGTGTATTTAAAGGTAAAGCAGGGCTTTCACTACAAAAAACAAAGTTCCAGTAACAGCAACAGCAGCTGTGCTCCAAATCAGAGTGTGCTATTTAAAATAATCACAAAATAGATCTTAAGCTACAGCTCTGGGGCCTGAATTCAAGTCAAACGTAAAAAAACAGAACCTGAACCACTACTTATTCTAATTTTATAATAAAAATGGATCAAATGAGTAGTTTAAATGTAAATAGGAAAAGGAAATGATCACACAGCTCTTTAGTTTGAATTAAGTTTGCAGAACTTGATAGCATCTTTCAGTTCATTCATTTTGTGTTCTGGGAAGTATATTTTGCTGTTTTTCCATCCAAAATTCTTTGATTCTTTCACCTGTTTTCAGTGAAAGCCTCTAATAAGCAAACATACAGACATAGTTAGATTCTACTAGATGGATCTAGTGGAGCATTTAGAAGTTAAAGAGTCAAATAAGACGGGGTGAAGATCAAAACTAGAGCTAAAAGTGGATTAACACTGGACCTACTCTGCATTTGCATGTGAAAACTGCTTTTTTCTCAGCTCCTGACACCTTGTCAGGAGCAGTAACCACAGCAGCATTACAGCACAAAAAAAAGAAATGTAGTACAGCTACGAATAGTCTGGAAAGGGACATTATAAAGTCTTATGAAGTGAATGGAAAAGAATTCTTAGCATGCAATTTTAAATTATGCTTGATTTCTTTTCACACAAATTTCTCTCAAGAATAGAAAACAGAGTGACACAAAAACAAGATGTGACTAAGTGACAAAGACAGATTAGGTGATGAAAACTTCTATACAAGTCACAATAATTTCTACTGTGAGCTCCAGGATGTTTTCTTTGTATACAAGGCTGACCAGTGTGCTGCTGCTCTTTGTGGATTTAGCAAACCAAATTCAATCGATGTTACAAGAGCTATCGTGGCGATTCTCCAAGCCCTACAGATGACAAAGTGTATATAAAGGTGGAATTTAATGACTCTGTGACACTGACATGAACACCGCTGCTGCTCAGCACTAGTCCAATATATTACATCACTGTTAACGTTACCACAGTAATACAAACTAAACACTTTAGCGGTACACTCCTGGTAATTTGATGTAACCTTTGAATAACACAAAATTGTAAGACATCTGTTTGTTCTGCAGGTTGTTTCACTAAATTAAAAAACACAACTTCAGAACAATATCATATGTAGGCCCATTGTGTGATTAAAAATCCTGAAATAAATGAGGAAATTTAATATAGCCTGTTAAATTCCTATGGAATTTTTCCCAACAGTGTTTCTATCCTATTCAATTCAATTCAATCGATTATTTATACAGCGCCACATCACAAACAACAGTCGCCTCAAAGTGCTTTATATCAAGGTAGACCCTACAATAATACAGACATACAGAGAAAAACCAACAATATATGACCCCTACGAGCAAACACTTGGCGACAGTGGGAAGGAAAAACTCCTTTTAACAGGATGAAACCTCTGCAGAACCAGGCTCAGGGAGGGGCGGGGCCATCTGCCAGGACCAGCTGGGGAGAGAAGGAAGACTGGATAAAATACTTATGCATCATGGGAATCTGTTGCTCCAACGGAACTTATTGTTTCGGACGAAAACACGAACACAGCGTACAGTCGAGTCTTAATAGCTTACTTACAACTGGACTCGTCAGGCACTCTTTTTGGCTGCAGTGGTTATTATTTACATGCTTCCAGCTCCCGTTTCTGCTTGATGACAGCTCGTACTTTTCCTTTTTCTCCCTCCCTCGCTCACAGACACATAACGGGTATGGCAGTCCATTCTCCCTGCAGCACGGACTACACTGCCCATCAGGCTACATTTTTTAGCGCTATGCCTGTAGCATTCTGCCTATTAGCTTAGCACAACAACAACAACAACAACAACAAAAAGGCGCTCTCTCACCCAGGAAACACACAGTAGCGCGCGTCATCCTGTAACCATGGTAACCGTAACGCTGCTGCCTGGAACAACAGAACATAGCTGTCAAACAAAACCTAAACAGTCCTGACCTGCACAATGTGAAACAGGAAAATACCGCCGTGTAATCCATTTATTTCAACAAAGTAACTGTATTCTAAATACCACCTTTTTAAATGGTAACTGTAACGGAATACAGTTTTTGTATTTTAAATACGTAACGTCAGTACATGTATTCCGTTACTCCCAACACTGACCACTGTTAATCCATTTGTTTACTGATGCATCTGCAGTGGATTAGATTTCTTTATAGTATATGAAAGGGAATCCTTGTATTGTCAATTGCAGAAAACCTCAACATCTCGGCATTGCATGCATATATAAATGATAAAGCTTTGCAGCCTTTGCAGTTAGCAACTAAAGAGCAGATATTTCCTCAGTTGTGGAGGACAAAGTCAAGCTGAAAGTGAAACAAACAGATAAGTAGCTCTGCATCTAAATAGGTCAGCTGATAACTAATGTAGTTACCATAACTTTGTGAGGTGGGGATTGCTCTGCTGCCTCTAACTGGTCAAACATGAATAAATCCAGCTTTCACTTTTAAATCATTTTAGTTTCACTTACCTGATCCAAATATATTAAAGCCTAAACCACTAAAATTACATTTATTGTACTTCTGACCCCAAAAAATTTAACATAAATTTACATATTTGATTTATAGTTTTTTGCTACATCTGGCATGTTTTGTGTAGTTTATTGCTTACAGCTTTTGATCTTAAGCAAACAAAAACATATAAGTGTGTTATGGCCAGAGAAAGGACACTGATGATGTAGAAGTCTCATAAACTAATGATACAGTTGGAGTTAGATGTGAACAAAACAGTCATAAAAAGGAAACATGACAGTTTTAATTAACAGTTTTGAAAAAAAAAATCAGTGTCAACAGAATCAGCATACAGATATATTTAATTCTTAAAAGATTTACAATATCTTACATATGGTACATATTGAAAAGCGGGATAAACGATCTTTGGCACACTCAGTTTCCTGGTGATACAGACAGAAAACATACACAGTTGTAAAAAATGCATCTTTATATAGTCTTTTGATCTCTGCATAAGCGCTGTAGAAGGAAGACTTTCCCTTTTAGCTTTGATTTGTCATCTGTATTACAGTTTATGTCTCTGTGTACAACATGCTTGCTTATCTGGAAAACAAAGTTAAGGCATAGCTTGGTAGAAAGAAAAAGAACACACACATACATTCACACACCCACAGACACGTATTCCTTTAATTTCCTGCTGGTGAGGATGGAATCTGTAGCATCATTAGTGTTAAGGCGCTGCTGACAGTTTGGCTCAAAGTTGAACACACAAAGGCACTTTCAGGCAAAAGGCACGTTAGAGTACATAAAAACATCTGTAATAAGTAGTAGGTGGTAAAGTGCACACTGAATATCTTTGGTATAGGATGTATTGCCCAGTTTGTTTCTCGTGGAGAGACCTTGAAGAGAAGCCCGTCAGACTCGCCACGCTCAGCGTATCTCGAGAAGCTTCCAGTTATCTTTTTTGGTTCTGTAGCTACCAGCTGATTATGTCGAGCCACATCTTAAATGTGGCGAAGACCAAAAGCATCCAAAAGTTGATCTTTGCTGGGCTACAATGACAGATGACGCTGCGACTCACACTCGGCTTGGCTCAAAGTCCTACAAGAGCTGAGCTCCAGGACACTATTCAGAGTTTAGTCCTCAGTCCCATCCCAGGAAGTGGCATTTTTCTCACTTCTTGTCGCTAATGGAGCAGTCCACAGCTATGATGTTTTGTATTTCTGTAATTTTCACTTCCTCCTCTGGGATCTCCACCTCTACTGGGATCTTTAGTTCCTCTACAATCTTCTCCGCCGAGGAGCTCCGGCTGGACAGCTTGCCCATCTCGTCTTCCAGCTCAGAGATGCGTTCGGCAATGCAGTGTGCAGTGAGGCGGGCCTCGGGATCGTGGTCCCAGCATTCCTTAATGGTGGCGCACATCACTGCCATGCCCTGTAGAGGGAGGCAGAGAGCATGTGTTATCAGATAGAAACTTTTTAAAAGAGAGAGAGTGCTAGGAGAATTCTACAAAAGCAAAGATGAGTGCAGAAATAAAACTATTCTATATATGTAGTTTTTATATCCCAGTGACCACTGAAATAAAAGTCAGATAATTCCAAGATAGTCACGGAATGCTGAGACTTGGTTAGTTTAGTTAAAACTTCTTACATATGAAATCAAACCGGTTATAGTGGTTCTAAGAGAAGTTATAAATGTACAAGCACTGAAGTTAAAAAGCAAATTAAAAGCAACACTTTCATTATTTGGAAGCAGTGAACTCAGTCGGTTTTAGATGTTACAAATGCATAAGGCAGCTTTCACCTCATTAAACCAAAGTTTAGCTAATTGCCATTTTACAGTGAGCAGAGTAAAGTTGGAGGCACCTCTACTGAGACTAAACTGTTATTAAAACCAAACCTGTCTCCGTATTTAGAAGGTGGCTGACTGTAGCACAGTCAGCAAAGAGGCTGCCTGGAACCGCTGTGACTAAAAGGTTGTAGTATTATTGTACTTCAACTTTAATGCATCACATTTGTTAGAGAGCAATGCTCTTTTTTTCCTTCTCTCACCCCAACCGGTCACAGCAGATGGCCCCGCCCCTCCCTGCGCCTGATTCTGCGGAGGTTTCTTCCTGTTAAAAGGGAGTTTTTCCTTCCAACTGTCGCCAAAGTGTTTGCTCACAGGGGTCATATGATTGTTGGATTTTCCCTGTATGTATTATTGTAGGTCTACCTTACAATATAAAGATCCTGTGGCAACTGTTATTGTGATTTGGCGCTGAATTGAATCTTCCACTTATGTGACTGGCATTTATGTCAGCATTAACATGTCTCTCTGTCTCTGCTGTCTTCACAAACAAGCAAGCAATTTATGATTAGGATTTACCAAAAAGATTGATTGAATATAGGAAAAGTGTTAAATGCAAAACTGTTTAAAGAGCAAAGAGACGAGCCACAGCCTATGCTGAAAATGTTTTCAAGTGTCAAAGGCCGGCTTTTACTCTTTTACTGCAAAAATTAGTTATTTAAACTTGTTCTCACTCCATTGTGCTTATTAGCATGAGTCCATCACCAGGTAAACTAACTAAACTAAACCAAAGAAAAATAATAATAAGCATAAGAAAAATAAATAAACTACAACAAGTACAATGTACAAAAGGGATACATTATCGTATAAATTAGTTAAACATACTATTACATTCAAAATGTACACTTGTGTTATATAAAAATTATGTGTGCAAAAAATCGTGACAATAGATACATATTTACTAATGTAAAATATGAAACTTATTTGAGTGTTCACACTCAATTGATTGATTGTGTTATTTTAATTTTCATCCTAACTTTTGTTCTACATTGTAGAAAGCTGCATCTACAATTTTGATTAGTACTGCAGTCTAATGCACTCACCTGGTGCCTGAGCCAGCTGTCGGGGATCTCAGGCCTCCCTCTGTCTCTCAGCACATTATCCTTCATGCTCTCCACACAGGGGTGCTCTCGCACTTTAGAGCCGTACGCCGGCTCGTAATCCTTTACTTCTGCAAAACACAAGCACAACTCACAGATAGACATGGACTGCAGACCCTAAACTGAGCTGCAAGTAAACCACATCCTTCTTTACAGCCACTTGTATGTACCAGTATTTGTCATTTCAAAATCTTGAAAGGTGCGTATGATGATATGTGAAAATTTTAAGATAAAGAAGAAAAGGAAAGAGAGGGAGAGGGACATGAGTGTGACAGGTGGCTGAGTTAACCTTACTAGAAAGTGCAAAGCATCCTGGTATGAGGTCATTACACCCCAAAACCACTGAGCTTGAATTTCCACCCGAGCTTTGAGCCTTGTACGCTGGCACCAATAATGCTGACAGTGGGAAAGAATTGCTTTTATGAAGCCTTGGCGGGAGGAAAATGCCCACTTTGGCACTCAAATGACGATCGTGTCTAAAAACAAACAAATCAGCTTCCGCTAACAAGCCATTATTTGCAACCTCAGAGCAAAGAACACCAAAATAACAATCGGTTATTTTTTTACTCTTTTATGCTCAAAATTAGCTGGGGTGCAGGGGTGGAAGGGCATCATGTTGAAACCATGAAAAATGAAAAACAAGGCTCTGGATTGGGTCCAAACCTCATGAAACCGAACTCACAACAGCTGCAGTCTGCTCCAATCCCGGAAAGGAAGGCTCCCAGATCTCACAGTTGCTGTGTAATGAGATACTAATCACTGCAAACTCATTTCTGTTTGCCCATCTGACACCGGAAATGATGCACAAATAATTAGCAAATAATCTATCCCTGGACGTCAGTGTTCTTATGCTTAATAACAAAGTGTTCTTCCCAACCTGTCAAACACTGGGTATTATTCTCTAATAAACTGTCATTTGTGCTACATTTTGCTGCAGTTTGCTTTCTCTGTTCTGCTGCCTCCAAACCAATGTTCTTTGGAAGTCCATTTGATTCTAAAGGGAACTAAATCCTGACCTGGTGAGTCACACAGGTCACACTCAGTCCAGTGTCTGGGTGGATCTCTGGGTGTTTTAGTCAGTTGAGGCTGACCACATTTTAGACCAGGTCTAAATATCCTTGACTCTATTTGGGCTAAGTACTCGGTTTCCCTTTACATTCGGTCTCTCGTTTTCCAAATATTAGTCATGTTTGGTTAAGTTTCACTAGTTTGGTTTGCAATTCTTAAACGCCTGCTGCTCAATGTTCATTCGTGAACTTTCAACAGCCTCACAACCATTTAACTGGCACCTCTGAACCTTCAAATCATCTCACATTGTCTGCAACAGCACTTTAGAACTTGGAAATTTTCTAAACTTAAAGTGTATTTACCACCTTTGACAAAGATGCAGTCATTGGTATGTCACTACCTATAGTAAAATCCTAAATTTCCAAACTCAATATCCTTTATGAGATACAGAAGTCATTTCTCAATATTTACATCTACATACATTTTTCTATATTTTCACTACCTAAACATTTTTGGTACAGTATAAATTATGCTATACTATAATTTGCTATTACCGTTAAAACTACAGCTACAAATGTTACTCCCCTTGTTTGTTTAAAATGACACTAGAAATGATGGGAGATTACATTGGAAGTCAAGGCTGCATTATGAAGCACTACCAGAGCAAGCTAGGCTAACACACAGCTGTCACTCAAGCTAACCAGTGTTTTTTTCTGCATGTATCTTTAATAAAGGACCTATTATCTGAATAAGCTTTAGGTGATGAGTGTCAATTCCCCATTTTAAATTTATTTATGTACAGTGAGAGAGTGGAAACACGAATTCAGAAAGACCAGAGTTGAAGAAAGCGGCACTTGTAGCTGTTCAAATTCCCATTTAATCTCAAAGCACTTAGTAAATGTCTACATAGCTATGTATATTTCCATATCAACTAGATGCTTTGATGTAGTGGTTAGCAGAATGATGCGGTGAAATATATGATAAGTGATGCAGTCTCATATAACCACGTGCAGCCCTGCTGCTTATCCTCAAATACAGGAAGTTAGGAGGTTGGGGTAAAATCCCGCAGACAGGAAACTGGAGGGCTAGGATTGGGATATGTGCAGAAACGCTGACTCTACAGACCCACACTTCCTGTTTTGACATGTGGAAGTTCCCTCAGTTTTAGTATTTTAAAACAGGACCCAGCCGGGCATGGCCCATTCCCTGCAGGGCTATTTATGCCAGGCCTGGTATTGTCCTCAGCTTTCTGCTGTTTAGATCTCCTGCTGTGGAGCTGGTATAAATACCACACATTTCCTGGACTGCATACAGCTGAAGCACAGAGTTGAAAACAGAAATAAAAAGAGGTGGAGTACTTCTAAACATCAAGACATCACAGAGTGGAAAAGGTCCTATTTCATGCTCCATTACTGATTTGGCTCTTGTACACTTGTCCTTTTTCTGTGAATGATACATGGGGACTACACGTGCGGTCTACATGAGGCGGGGCCTGTTTTCCTTCTCTGACCTTGAAAAGCTATGAGAAGAATTTCATCTGAGAGGAGATTTCAAAGAGACTGCAACCAGAGCTTCAGTCTCACTTTCCTCTTGCTGTCTGGGGCCCGCAGTTAAAATCCGATATATTCATCTAAGTGCTGGAAAGTGGTTTACGACAGTTTCCTTTTCAGATTATCTGTCTGAAACCTTTGTGGCCTGAAGGTTAGCAGAAACCCCGTGGCTGGCTACGCTGTCTGGGATCTGCTATCTCCAGACAAACATCTCCATGTTTGGCGTTTGAGAGATTTCAGACTCTCGAGAGAAGTATAACATGAAACTGATCCCACACTGATGCAAAACAAACTACATTGCAAGAAATGAACCTGTGTAAACTCTAATGAACCACACTGTCATCGAAACAAATCTCCTCTCCACAGAAACAAAGAATCCGCCCATCTCTAGAGAAAGTTGTGGGCTGAATTCCTGTGGCAGGTTTGTGGCTAGCACTTGGGGTGCTGTGAGTTTAATGTCAGTGCTGTTAGTAGTACTTTGATTGGGGGGGGGGTTACAAGTTGAAATAGCAGATTCCCTCCAAATGAATACCTGAAACTTAAAAGAAAGAAGCAGTCAGTCCTATCTTCATGTCTGTTCTCATTTGATTGGTTTGTTTGGAATTACTGTATTCTTCAGCTCTTTGTCTGTTTAGTCTTATTTGACTTGTCTTTTACTGTTATTGCTCTTTATCTGCGTTATTTTTATTTTAATGGTAATTTAGTATCTGACCGGAGATGACACACTTAGTTATCTTGAAATGTTTACACTCAGCTGCCAGTTTATGTAAGATACACTTAGCTAAAAATAACTAAAAGCTATTTAGAGAATTTAGAGAAAAACAAAAGAAAAAAAGCCACCAACAGAGATGTTATAGTAATATAAAATAGTATATTGCACAGCTATGACATCAAATTATGTGGCGCATGGACCTGGGTCCTTTGAGGGTGTCCTGTGGGAGTCTGTTGGTTGTAAGACTTAAGTGGGTCAAGCTCATTCTCCTGCACCTGGTGCATTTATTGTTCACCCAACCATCCATTTCCTACTGATTATACATCAGTTTAAAATGAGATTCCAATGCAAGGATGCTTCATTGAATTAAACACCTGTTGCTTCAACTCTTCTCTTCTTGTGTGTCTCTCTCCCCCTCCTTACTTTGCATCTCTGATAAGAGGGAGTAAGACATGAGAAGAGGATGAGAGGAAAGGGAGGACGTGCAAACTAAGAAATGAGAAAAAGGGTATATCTTAAGATTTCCACTTCCTGTGGAAATGTTGAAGAAAATATCCTGCTAGGGAACATGGCGTACCCCTGTTGTTGCCAGAGGTACAGCAACAGTTAGAGGGGTGTTAACTGTTAAAGAAAGCAGCACACATGTATCCAAGATTTCCCAGTAGAAAATTGCATTGTAATAAAATTGTAAATATTCTTCACCGTACGTGTAATAATTTTAAAATTAGTCCACAACTAAGTCCTACACACTCAGTGTCGAGAAATTCTTCAATCTAAACATCATCAGGGCAGGATTGTTCTTAAGGGCTAACCACGTTACTTTTAGCTAAACGGTCGAATGAACTGGCAACTGAGATTACAATAACCCTACAGTAATTACAGAGAGTGGTATCAGTCTTGTCTAAGGTAAAAGTGAGCGTATTTCCAAAATGTTGATCATTAACTTCTGTGTTCTTTTAGCTTTTTATCAACCCTCACCAGCTGCTGCTAATGGCAGTGTCCCTACATGGCCCACAAGGCTTTTGCTTGGCATGGTGCAAACCTTTCTCCCTGCTCCATTTACTCTGCATAACCTCAGCTCAGACTGAACATGCGGGCCCTGCTGCGCCTGCAGCTAATTCAGGATAAGTAAATAAAATGCTCAGAGACCCACGGAGAATGTACTATAAGTGACCACAACAACAATGCCAGAACAGGGTAGTATTTCGATCCACCATTCTGACCCCTGTTGTTGCGGTGGAGACAGAGGAAATACACACACACACACGCTCACACACACACTCCCAGATTGAGACATGGAAACAGGATGAGATGAGGGCATCTGTCTAAGACCTCCATTTCTGTTCCACTGTCTCCAGGTGACTCTCTTTACTCTGAAGAAACACACACACTCTGTGTAGACAGAGGAAATAAACACACACACACACATACACACACTCTGTGTAGACAGAGGAAATAAACACACACACACACACACTGGAATGTGACTGTCTCATTCTAAATATCTCAGACTGTCTAGAAAGCCAAGAGACAGAGGGAACAACATAAACCACAGAGAGTCCCTCTCTACTCTAAGGAGACTGGAATAAAACACCAAAAACAAATTTGTGTGAGCTGTACTTCATTAAAAGGTCCTCTCTAAGATTTAAAGTCTATAGTACAATCTAATTTTGCAAGGTGAGAATTACCGATAGAAAGATTTTTGATCAAAGTGGCATTAATACCGGACTCACACACCCTCATGTGCATAAGAGCGAAATGATTCCCTTCCAGCACTGAAACAAAACTGGTGGTATCAAAACTCCCTTTCCTAATTGTGTGCGTGTTTAGCTACTGTAAGGTAGTAGTGTGTTGTTGTGTTGTTGCCCTACAGATTGTTCCTTGTCCTCGATTCTCGTGATCTTCCACTGACATTTGAATTGGTGGCTTAAGAATTGCCTTTCTGTTCTTTACTGATGATTTGGTACTATTCATTATACAGCATGCAGCCAAATGTGAAACAGCTCGGTTGTGTGTCACCGGTTCCCTGTTTAGGCCACGAATATCTGATTGCTTGGACTGCAGTTCATTGCTTGGTGGATTAGGAGTTTCTATTTCTATTTTTTTCAACTGGCAGAAAAAGCAAGACAAGACCAGAACAAGTTTCAGGGATCTAACTGTAACCCTTACACTAAAACCACATTCTGAGCCTCAAAACACACACACACACACACACACACCACACACACACACACACACACACACACACACACACACACACACACACACACACAGCTGAAGCAGGTACAGTAACCACTCCAGCTCTCTCCCCTGATTTCCTGCCCAAAGAAGGGCAACCGCACGGTTCAGATTGTCTCCCTCACACATCAGACATTCCTCAAATTCCTGCTGCTAAAGCTGAAGGTTGAGGTGCAGTGCAACAGATGAGGCCATCAGCCTCCTTGCTGCCCCATCAAAAACAAAAGCCTAACAGTAAACAGTAGTCCTGAAACTACTGTCTACACTATGTAGGTCTCACACACACACGGTAGCAGTTTCAAGCAGCTTTCAACACATTGGCCTTCAAACGTATTGCATGAAGTCAGCTGATTAAAGTGACCTTTTCCTTTTCTTTTAGTAATTGTGACGTATAGGAAATAGCCAAATACTTCCAGTTGTTTCATGACTGAAGGGACATGACCGGAAAGAAAGGAAGGTAGAAGATAAGCAGTCATTTTTATGACATTGCATTACACACGGCACAAACTGAGTTAGACCTCACACACACCTTCATTATGTGACATGTTAACATCATTCTGCCCAACTGCTTCTCCTGCTGAGCTTGATCTGACAGGCCAAAACTCACAGAGCATGCTGTCACTGTAGAGTCATCTCAGTTGCTGAGACACTTCACCTGAGCAGATTTGTTTTATTCTGAGAGTGAGTGTGCGCTTATGTGTTACATTACATCATACTTCCCACAGCTTGGTAATTACTGAACACGTTTGTGTGTTTACATGTGTGTGCAGTGTGCACTGTGTGCACTGACCTCCAATAGCTTCACACCTTGACGTCATCTCCCACAGGACCAGAGCCATGGAGTAAATGTCAGTCTGCTTGAAAGACTCGATGTTCTCCAGATTTAGTCGGGCCTCCAGCACCTCTGGTGCCATATAGCGCGCAGTGCCCACCTGCCCAACAGAGGCAGCAAACAGGGGTTAACACACAAACAGGCACACCCAAGCATTAAACAGATTATCACCTTATCACTACACTGTCTCTCAAAGCCTGATTAATGGTGCTGGTGCAATAAATCAAAGCACTGGCTCAGTGGCAGAAGACCTGACTCACTCCTCGCTTCATTCAGAAACAGGTAAGAAAAAGAAATGACATTTGACATCATAAACAGAGAGATTCTAGTCTAGCCATTCATCTGTTTGATGTGCGCTGTTAAATTACACATAGTAGCTACTGCACTGTTTGCTCCAGACAACTTTCAATGTTGCTGTTATGCTGCAGTGTTTCTGTATACTCCAGATGCATTTCTTCACAGCCAGACATGGAACAATATATATTTTTTGCAAGTCTGCAGAGTCCTACATTTAATAGTCAACCTCCAAGCCAAGATCAACAAGTTGTCAAGTTTTAACTAAAAGCAGATATAGAAAATTAAGTCTCAGCTGAAGACAAACTCAATTCAAGGTCACGTCCAAAATAAAGATCTTTAGCCTCACGTTAAATCACAAGTCAAGACAATCAATGACTTCCAAGTCAAAATCACAAATTCCTGTCAGGAGAAATCAGTTTGAGTTCAAACCAAACAAGATTAAAGTCCAATGTTGAATTATTTAAGTATTATTTCAAGTCTCAGCTTAAACTCAGTGGCTTAGGTGAATATTTAGAACATACTCTCTCCCAGTTTTTACTGAAAGTAGAGGGATACCATTCTCATCAAGTCGCTGCACGTCAAATCTAATAGTTTGCACGTCTTTGCAACTGTATGCTTGCAAATCTTGGGACTCTTTTGATTTTGTAAAGTAGAGTTTGGAGTCATCATGGACTGTAATGGAAACGTATAAGCTGAAAGTGAAAGTGGAACAGTTTTCTGCCTTTAAAAGTGACGTTTGTGCGTCAATCAAAGTCAATTAGCATAACCGTTTTGCATTCCATCTACTTTCCCACTAGTAAAACGGTGGCTTGTACTGTTCCACAGTAACCCAAGCAGTAATCCAAATGGCTTTGAGTTTAGATGTGCAAACTGGTCAAATAAGCTAGCTGACTGTATATGCAAATTCATTCTTGCAATGCTAATGCAAGACTTATGTCCTTTCCACCACAGGTACTCTGTCAGTTCAACAGCTTTGTAGTGCATTTACATGCATTTGTTCCATTAGTGCTTACCATGAGCATTTTCCAAATCTGTCTTTTCACTGCTGCTTTAATAACCATAAAACATCTGAGATTTACATAACATCAAATTTCCCATGTGCTGTATATGCAAAAATACTGCTGACATGGTTTTGCGAGTGGTTGCACGAGTTGCATTTTTATGCAAAGAAAAGTTCGACCACACGCGCACACATGATTGAAAAGAATTTACACCGAAACCTAAGCTCAGGATAATATCTGACAGAGACACACACACACAGTCACGGAAGTTATAATTACAACCTACTAGCTGGGAATTTCCAACTTTTAATTGTGAGTGGAACCAATAGTGACATTGAACAATCATACTTCGGCCTACGCATGAGCTGAGGTTAAAACCCCCCCAAAAAGGAAGAAAAGATTGAACAGCCAGGATTTTGTTGTGGTTGCACTCACTGCACCTCTTCCTTCATCACTTGATTACTGATCAGTCTGTCAGTTTTCTTTTGTCAGCAAACAATCAAACACATTCTCAGGAGAAGTAGGAGGAAGGCAAAACAAACACAACCCGCTCATATCTCATCAGATATGGTGAGATATGACAGCTACAAATCTATTACCGCAGATATTTGCAGGTTATGCTTTTGATATCTCTTGGCAGTTGTGTTTAAAGACCATTTGTTAAAAGAGGAATCCATAATGATATTTAACCTGTCCACTGTTGGCAAGTTCATCCACTGACAGGCTGCTGTCCAGACAGAGTCCCAGGCCAAAGTCACAAACACAGCACGTCCCGTCGTTTTTCACCAGGATGTTGGAGCTCTTCAGGTCTCGGTGGACTATCGGCACCTAGGAGAATAACAGACACTTGATCGTCCAAATGAATAAAAATAATAAGCATGAAAGCAGAGATCAAAATGGTAAAGAGATAATACGATGTATGTAGCCTGAGTTACAGGATGTTGATCTGTTGACTTTTCCCCTAGTGTCACCAGGCATTAAGCATTGTGTCCTGTGTCTTTTAGAAAACCTTAATCTAGCTGTAATTTGATGCTGAGAAAGTCCCTCTTGGCTTTACATTTGACATTTTTACTTAATTCTAAGAGTGCTACAGGTTTGGGCTGCTGTGAGGACCTCCCTTCATCTCACTCCCTGCATGTTATTCACTGTTATTTGCTCTCTCCTGTACTTTGTATTTTTTTTCTGTTTGTTTAAAGGGAGTTCTTCCTGTCAGAGATTATGAGTTTTTTTTGTACCGTGTAGGATCTGTACTTTCTACACTGCATAAACTAAATTTAACTGAACTGAATTAATGCCATCGTCTCACTATAACAATTCGATGTATCCAGTTAATATTTGCTAAAAACTTGATGGACAGCAGTACTCATAACAGGTGAAGAAAGGCTGAAGTGTTTTTATTGGAACAAGTGTCATCTGAATGCTGCTAACGTGGCTAATAGCAGTCACATGGATGGATTGCTGCCCTACTGCTAAATATGACTTGTGATCTTTAACCTTAGGGCTTCCACAGGGGAGGCGATCACTGTGGAGGTGGGCAACACCCCGTGCCAGAGAGCTGCTGAACACCTGCAGCTCCTGCCAGCTGATCACGTGATGTGTCAGGTACTCCTAGAAGACAGAGATGTGACAGTGTATTAGCATTTTGAGAAGTTACAAACTAAAGTAATACCACTTTCATATTCCGGACACTTGTGCACTCACCTGTAGGTTTCCTTTGGGGTGGAAGGCCGTGATCAGCCAGTACTGTTTCTCCACCTTCCGCTCCTCAGCTGTCAGGAAGTGGAGGATATTCTCATGTCGGAGGTCTGTGTTGGAGAAAATGTCCTTCTCGTTCTTCCAGGAGGCGTACTCTTCGTAGGGGAAGATCTTTACAGCTACTGTTTCAAACTGATTCCACGTAGTCTGCTTCAATTTAGCCTTGTATACCTGAGCAAAGCGACCCTTTCCCACCTGGGACACAAGCAAAAGTTAAGATTAGAGTTTGAAGCAGCACAGCTCCACATATGTATCAAATATGTTTGCATACCAGCAGATCCAGCTCTATAGGCAGCGGCTCTGTGTTGTGGTTCAGACTGTTGGCATGAGTCGAGCTGCTGTCGGACTTATCGTCATCTGTCATGATGGCGCAGGCGTCACTGCAGTCCAGCCCACCGGCTATTGGCTTACGCTTAAAGTTAAAGCTGCTCTCCCATTGGCGGTTGGGACGCCTCTGCCGATGGATTCTGCACCAGTAGAACATTCCAAAAAACGCGATCACCATCACCAGCAGGGGCAGCATGCTCACCAGAACTGCAGATATCAAAGAGTGGTTGGACTCCAGTGGATCTGGAGTTGGATCCACAGCTGGGGAGAGAAGATGAAAAACATGAAAAAAGTGTGAGCATGAGATGCGTAAGCTAATGAGTCCCAACTGAGAAAGAAGACGCACAACGATAACATAAGGTTGTGTGACATCAGAAATGGAAATGTATCGAGATAGTAGCAGAACGCAAAAATTCCCCATGTAAGAGCTAAACTGCTCGTGGGTGGACTTTGAACTGAATCATGAAAGTCAGCTATGAGGATACGTTAAGAATATTGTTAAAAAATGACTCACCATCATTTGCTGTCATGTTATTAAAACAAAAAAAAATTCTCCCTGCTGCACAAAATGCCTTCAGGTTTGCTCAGAGTTTTCCTTAGCTATCTGAAGCTAAGGTGGGAAGATGTAGATATTTTTGAAACTGCCAACGTGAGTCAGAGCTCTGTTAAAGAATGAGCATAATAGTCTTCTCGGGACTGTCATGAAGCTATTAATGCAAAGTCAGTTTTTCAGTAGACTGTTTTATGATGCTGATGTGATTCTAGTTGGTATTGTTGATTTGGTGAGATGCATTAACAACCTACAGTGATCAGTGGATTCTGGAAAAGTAACTTTTGCATTTGAACAGCTTGTACTTACAGCTCATGTTAGTTTCACACAACTTTTTCGGCACCTATTACTAATTAGTAGATCTAATTAGTAGTAGTAGATGCAATAATAACAGTGTGCAATACACATACACTTATTCTTCTTTTTTATACTAAGTTAATATACTGTGTTGTGTTGTTTGTTACGTTGTGATGTGTCATATCGTGTCGTGTTGTGTTATATGTAGTGCCGACGTAGGACAGTTTTTCCAATTTCATTGTACTACTGTACTATGTATGACTGTGCAATGACAATAAAGAGTTATCTTATCTTATCTTATCTTTCTTTAAAATGAACCCGGGGTCGACCTTTGCTGAAAAGGACACGCAGGCTAGTTTCTGTGCTCTGTGCGGTGGATGCAACAGCAGCACACGTCAGTTTCCTCCCACTGCCACCACACTGAGGACACCACAGGGAAATCATTCTTAAACCCTGCACTATAAAAACATCATTGTGTTCCCCACTCCACAGACAGCTTGAAATCTTTTACTGTCCATCATAACAAGAAGTGCAAGTTTGAACCTTTTGGTTTCTGATCTTTTCAGGGACCTAACTGTGCAGTCAGAAGGTTCACAGTTTGAGCAGGCTTTATAGCTTTGTGAGCTATAGCATTAACTCCATCCACTGACTCTGACTGCCAGCTGGGACAGAATGGCAGCCAAGCCTCGGAGCTCCAGCGGCAGTGAAAGAACAGTCAAACGCTTGTCTGTCTTGCGTTGGCCTGGCCTGGACTGATCTGCTCTAGCCGGGCACCTTTTCAAAGAGTGTCTCACTCATAGTCCCAAGGGAACATTACCCTCCTGAGCAAAGCTGCCACATTGGCGAGCTGAAGGAGGTCAGGCCAAGGACTGACCATTGAAGAAAATGCTCCACCCTACATCTACTTTGCAGTAAGATTTTCCACTTACAGTACATGTATTAGTGAGCACTATAGAGGCTCAAAGTATACAAAGCAAACATCAGCATATAGAGCAAAAATAAAAACTTCGAGCTTTGATACTCTGTGAATTCTTCTGTATATCATAGACTGAATGTAATCACTGACTATGTATAAAATGTAGACTCAGCCACACATGACTGAATCTAACTGTTGTGAAGTCTGCTCAGTGTTTTGTCTGACAACCAAGATTTCGAAGATACTGCATGTCCATCTAAGCATAAACTTTATTGCCCTTTTAGGCTCTACTGGGGACCATCATTTACACACAGAACGCACTGTTGTGTTCAGTAATACTTGAAACTGGGTAATAAACTTATCAGGAAAGTATGTACTGAGGTCATAGAACAAGGGAGCTGAAACTTCTGTTAAACCAGACACTAACTGACTACCCCTACTGGCCATGAATAAGAATGGTTCCACATCTGGAAAGCAGAGAACTGTTGTCCATTTAAATACAGTTAAATGCACTATGCAATGGCCTTTTTAGCAAGCTACCTAGCTACAACTATTGTTTATTACAATCCAAATTCCAAAAAAGTTGGGATGCTGTATAAATGTAAATAGAAAGAAAATGCAATTATTTGAAAACATTTATTCACATATCAAATGTTCAAAATGAGAAAATTAACCATTTTTTTTTACTAATGTCTCAAAAAAGTTAGGAATTGCCCATGTTGACCACTCTGTAGCATCCCGTCTTGTTTAAACGGTTACAGCAGATGGCTGCACCTCACTGAGCCTGGTTCTGCTGGAAGTTTCTTCAAAGTATGTTTTTTTTCCCTCACTGTCGCCAAGTTGTCTGATTCTTGGGGTTTCCTCTATCTCTATAAAGTGCCCTGAAGTGACTGGCATTGTGATTTTGTGACATATAAATAGAAATGTATTGAATTGAACCAGTTGCTGGACTTTTGAGCATTTAGTGATGTCTATGGGTTCTAGACTTTAGGCTCCAAACATTTTCCATTCAAGTTTCTTTAAATTTATGTTATGAATGTTGAAACTCTAAAAATGCTAGCCTTAAGGAGTTTATGTAATTTTTGTAATTAACTGAATTGAAGCCAAGTGCACAAAGCCACTTCAATCACACATTAATAGTTTGACCTAAGAGCCACTGTGGTGGTGCACAAAGGCAAAACTACACTGTTCCAAAAAATAGTAATGTCAAAGTACTTTACTGTGTAGTTTACAGTTGTGTACTGTTTTTCTAGAATATCATTACATTTACATAAGTAGACTGTGATCTGACACGTCAAATGTAAAATAACATAACATCACTGTAAATGTAATAAAACACAATTTACTTGTTTGTTAAATATATTTTGTTGTACATATGCATATTTAGATCGTAAAAATACATCCAGGAATGTCTCCCATCATGCCTTGGGACATGTGCTGCTGTTTAGATGTTCTTGTTCTATTGTTTATGGTTACGTTACTTTTAACTGTTATCTTGAATGTTGTGTTTACGCCGTGGTGCAGCGTCACTGACAGTTGTTGTTTTGTAGAGAGAGTGCTGTACCATGAGTGACTTCTGTTGTGCTGTTGTTGATCCTTGAGGCACATTGTAGCACAGCAAGTGTTTTAATAAGGAGCTCCCCCTACCAGCTTGGGGTTAAATAACAAGCTCAATCTCTCTCTGTGAGCTTCTTTGTTAAGATTTCTCTGCATGCCACAATGTAAAACATTGCACGGACACGCTGTGCTAATTATATATTTTGAAAAAGAAATGTAGAGGTAGGAATTGCAATTAATATAAATAACATGACGCTAAGCATCGGCCAATGAATGTGAACTAACAACAAGGTCGCGGGTAACGCTGCGACCAGAGGAAAAAAACCCTAATATGAAGGTATTTTACTGCATTTTACAGTAATGTTCTGTTCTTCTAGAATATCATTAAAGTTACGTAAATAGACTTTGACTTCACATTTTGAATGTAAAATGTTAAATCACTGTAATGTAATACAACATGATTGTCATGATTATTAAATGTATCTGTCTGTACATATGCATATTTAGATTGTTAAAACACATTCACAAATGTATCATGATCTCACAAATATCTGTCCGTTATTTGAAAGATTGAACTGTTGAATTCAAATGTAATGCTATGGAAAAGTATATAACATGATCCCTATAAGCTTGTGTTACATCACATAAGTATTATTATCGCTGCTAGTTAGGCCGTTCGTGGCTCAAGAGTTGGCAGTTCGCCTTCTGATCAGAAGGTTGCCGGTTCGCGCCCCGGCTCGGACACTCGCCGTCGTTGTGTCCGTGGTCAAGACTCTTCACCTACCGCCTACTAGTGATGGCCAAAGGGGCCGATGGTGCGATATGGCAGCCTCGCCTCTGTCCCAGGGCATGCAATCAATTATTATTTAAACCAACTGTTAACTGTATATTTCTGTACATTTACGTATTATGATTCATATTTCCACATTCATTCACCTTGTTTATAGGTAATTTCATCGTTTGATCGCGTAAAAATGTTCCTAATCTAATGTCTAAAAGCACTTGGAAAAGGCAGAATCCCATGTCAAATTAGCTCAACAAACTCTATTTTCATTACTGAAAATAACCGTATTTTTATGGGACAGTTATTTTCTGTTATTTTACGGTCATATTTTGGCGCCCCAGCTGCCGGAAGATTACCGTTGTTTTACGATGTTTTTTGTAACAGTGTATAAAACACTTGTCTTTGTCCCAAGCATTGAAGAGGGAACTTGCCAAAGAAGACAAAGACAATAATAATGCTACAAAAATGCAAGCTTGCCATCTGTGAACCTGTAGTTAGTCTTAACGAGCTCACTTTGTTAGCTACAGATAGTAGATTACAGCTGTCTGCTGGAATGTCTGGTTTGGTTTCAGTTCAGTTCAGACAGACACTGATCTGATAGCCTACACTTCTGTATTTTGTCAGCTTTAGAGCTGCATAAACCCACATATTATTTGTGATGTCGCCTAGCAAAAATGAAACCATTACATTAGATAAAAATGTAAGACTGTATTTGTCATGTCAACGCTCACTCTGATCTTTGTGACTTACGAACTGCTGGGCCCACATCACAGAGCGTCATTAACTGTCCGATTTAAACTGCCTGATGTGCTTTCTCTTCAGCAAAGTAAAAGAGGAACGAGTATTGTGTTCATTTTTGTGGTTGTGAGCATGTAGGTGTGTATTTGTGTATGTATGTGGGCACACAGCACTAAAACTTTTTGAGATCACTTCGGGCAAAACCGCAGATGCAGTGAATCAAAAATACCCAACACAAGCTCATGCAGTGGTTTTTTTTAGGCTTGAGACAACTTCAAAAGACCAGTAGTAAAGTTAGTTGCAAAATAAGCCAACCAGCCAGTCAGACATGGCATTTCTACTCAAATTCCTAGTGTCTGTACATGTGTGTATGCTTTAAGGGTTTTAAGACTGCTTAGAGGTTTTTGGGGTTTTAAGTTTATTTCCTTGTTGTCTTGCAGCCATGTTTGGAGTGTGTAAGGGTGTGTGTTTCAGGTAGAAACAGCCAATCACGCAGTGCCAAGACAAACTGGCAATTACAATCATGTTGCCTTTTCCAATCAGGATGCCAAAGTGTTCTCAGGCGGCGTTTAAAGAGGTTTGACACATAATTTGGCCAAATGCAGGCATCCCTGCCTCCGGCCTGTAATTACTCACATCATCAGTGTGTATTCATGTGTCAGGAAGTGAATTCTGGGATTACTGAACCTGCCATCTCTGAATCACACTTTTAATGCTTTGACCAATTGCTAATTACTTACTTGCTTACTACGCTTAGTGAAGTTACGAGCTGGATTTTAAAGAGGAACTATTTTCACTGGAAAAAAGACAGAGCCAGACATGATTTCATGTTTAAAACAGGTGATGGGTGGATAGATGGCAGCCATTATAAACAGAGTGTAAGCAGAAGCACACTTCCAACAGGGCTTCCACTGTGCCAGATTGTTTACTGTGCCAGCAAAACACTTTAATATCAGTATTCATCCTGATTTGTTTGAACATTTCCATTCATAGCCCCTGATTTTGGTAATTATCTGGTCACGTAATGGAAAGCTGAGGGTTCAGATTTAAAAGTAAATGTGGTGTAAATTCTCC